TAGTGTCTATGTTCTGTTTTCTATGTTCTGTTCTAGGTTATGTGTTTCTATGTTGGCCGGGGTGGTTCTCAATCAGAGGCAACGAGAATCAGCTGTTGCTTGTTGTCTCTGATTGGGAACCATACTTAGGCAGCCTTTTGTGCACTTGTCGTTTGTGGGATCTTGTTCCGTGTAGGTTTGTGTTATTGACCGAGGACTTCACGTTTCGTTTTGTTGTTTTGTATTTGTGTAAGTACCTATTAAAGTATGTACTCATATCACGCTGCGCCTTGGTCCACTTTTCATGACGATCGTGACACTGATAATCTCCCTCGATCTGGGGCTCCACGCAAGATCTCACCCCGTGGGGTCAAAATGATCACAAGAACGGTGAGCAAAAATCCCAGAACCACACGGGGGGACCTAGTGAATGACCTGCAGAGAACTGGGACCAAAGTAACAAAGCCTACCATCAGTAACACACTACGCCGCCAGGGACTCAAATCCTGCAGTGCCAGACGTGTCCCCCTGCTTAAGCCAGTACATGTCCAGGCCCGTCTGAAGTTTGCTAGAGTGCATTTGGATGATCCAGAAGAGGATTGGGAGAATGTCATATGGTCAGATGAAACCCAAATAGAACTTTTTGGTAAAAACTCAACTCGTCGTGTTTGGAGGACAAAGAATGCTGAGTTGCAGCCAAAGAACACCATACCTACTGTGAAGCATGGGGGTGGAAACATCATGCTTTGGGGCTGTTTTTCTGCAAAGGGACCAGGATGACTGATCCGTGTAAAGGAAAGAATGAATGGGGCCATGTATCGTGAGATTTTGAGTGAAAACCTCCTTCCATCAGCAAGGGCATTGAAGATGAAACGTGGCTGGGTCTTTCAGCATGACAATGATCCCAAACACACCACCCGGGCAACGAAGGAGTGGCTTCGTAAGAAGCATTTCAAGGTCCTGGAGTGGCCTAGCCAGTCTCCAGATCTCAACCCCATAGAAAATCTTTGGAGGGAGTTGAAAGTCTGTGTTGCCCAGCGACAGCCCCAAAACATCACTGCTCTAGAGGAGATCTGCATGGAGGAATGGGCCAAAATACCAGCAACAGTGTGTGAAAACCTTGTGAAGACTTACAGAAAACGTTTCACCTGTGTCATTGCCAACAAAGGGTATATAACAAAGTATTGAGAAACTTTTGTTATTGACCAAATACTTATTTTCCACCATAATTTGCAAATAAATTCATGAAAAATCCTACAATGTGATTTTCTGGATTTTTTTTTCTCATTTTGTCTGTCAGAGTTGACGTGTACCTATGATGAAAATTACAGGCCTCTCATCTTTTTAAGTGGGAGAACTTGCACAATTGGTGGCTGACTAAATACTTTTTTCCCCCACTGTAACATACAGTAGGCCAACTCCTATTCTGTTCTTCTGAAATACATTTTCTTCATATTATGTTTCTTTAGACCTGTGTTAGAAATTGCGTAATTCAAATCTGGTATTGGAATAAGAATCAAGAGATCTTCAATCCAAGCTTAATTTATTATATGCAAAATGTATGTATGATAAGTATGAAGGTTCGTATATACGGGTCCACTGAAATACCTCGCAGGGCACTCAGAGAACTGATCCATTGTTTACAGGTTATTTCTCAAATACTCTGACAGAGAGTTCCCACCTCTTCTGTTGGCCAATCAGAGTAAAGGACTGAGTGTGGTTTAGACTTTACTCAGCCAATCCGTTGGCGCACGGGTTAGTCCCACCCCTTGGCGCTCCACCGTTCCCAGGCATAAGTTTATCATAACAACCTGTAGAGTCAGCACCCAAAAGACTGTACGTTCCTACATCCAAGGACGGTTCACAGACAACAAAGAGGCAGTGTTCGTATCTGTAAGAAATACAAGTCTTATCTGTCCTTCCCCTAACGTTCCACACATGAATCACAGCCTGTTATGTGAAACAATTTATATCAGTATAGTACAAACCTATGCTCCTCATTAATGCATTCCTTCTAAGCTATTCATCACTTCAATCCAATTATTAGAAAACAAATCCCAACACCTGCCTAAAATAAATAATGGATTTATTGTGATGGTATATATTAATTTACTTTTTTATATGTAGATGTTCCAAAAGCGTGCATCAGCAGCTTGTATGTGGCTTGTATGCATGGAGGCCTGGAGATGCTAAAGGTGTTTATGTTAATTAACAATTTTAAAAAGTACATTTCAATTTATCAGTGGGTGCTTCAGCACCTCTACTTCCCGCGACTATGAGTGTGCACATTTTCCATAATTTTCCTTAATCCTTAATTATTAATTTACAAAGTATACAGGACGGGACTCTTATCAAGGATTCCAAAAATCCGTGACCCGGGATGTCGCAGCTACAGAAGCGGAGGCGAACGTGAAGATTTACATTTACATTTTAGTCATTTAGCAGACGCTCTTATCCAGAGCGATTTACAGTTAGTGAGTGCATACATTTTCACAAGATGGCGGAAACTGATGTTTTGTTTGATACTGATGGCGCGTCGAGTGAAGACAAGAGTGAGAAGGAATTGATTACAGTGGCGAACAAAAAAGAAAAAGTAAAGTGGTCATGGAGTCTAGTACATCCAAACCTACTTCTGATGCCCCGTTCACATCGTGACATATTTCATTACGCTATACGTCATCTTCACGGAGTCTTGCCCCGCTACTGAACATACAAGTGTAGTCGCAGATCAGACCGGGTATTTAACCGGATATTTCACCAGATGTATAAATGTGAAGTATCCAGTTGGTGTTTCCACTCACTACCAAATATGGTGATGAGAGGAGCCCAGTGGCCGACAGTGGGAGAAGATGGAGCGAGATAGATTTTGGCCAACATTCTGCTAATTTTCTCATTGATGAAACATTTGATCTCCATACAGTTTTCTGTTTCCAAAGTGGACTGCGTTTTGTAGACTTTACCCTTTGCCAAAGTTTTAAAAAATTTCGTTATTTAGAAGGAGTGCAAGGGCGAATTGAGTTATTACACACTCGCACTTCACAGAGTAGGATAGGATCTCACTAGCTCGTGCTTGGCTCTTCCCACCTCCTTGCTTGTTCTGCCAAAAATGGTTCATTTGCTCCCATTGAAAACGACAGGTTCTGGTCTGTCTTGGGTTAGTTATAAAAATCTTCGGTGTAGTGTTTAATGCAAGATGGAGGGGAGCCTGTCTCTCGTCTGAGATTGCATTTATTTGGGGAGATTGCTAAGTATGAACTTTTCATTCGAGACAGGATAAATACACTGAATAAAAATATAAAGGCAACATGTAAAGTGTTGGTCCCATGTTTCATGAGCTGAAATAAAAGATCACAGAAATGTTCCATAAGCGCAAAAAAACGTATTCGTATCAAATTTTGTGCACAAATGTGTTTACATCCCTGTTAGTGAGCCTTTCTCCTTTGCCAAGATAATCCATCCACCTGACAGGTGTGGCATATCAAGAAGCTGATTAAATAGCATGATCATTACACAGGTGCACCTTGTGCTGTGGACAAAAGGCCACTCTTAAATGTGCAGTTTTGTCACACAACACAATGCCACATATGTCTCAAGTTTTGAGGGAGCGTGGCACTTGGCATGCTGACTGCAGGAATGTCCACCAGAGCTGTTGCCAGAGAATGGAATGTTCATTTCTCTACCATAAGCAGCCTCCAATGTCATTTTAGAGAGTTTAGCAGTACGTCCAACCGGCCTCACAACTGCAGACCACGTGTATGGCGTCATATTGGGTGAGCAGTTTGCTGATGTCAACGTTGTGAACAGAGTGCCCTGTGGTGGCGGTGGGGTTATGGTATGGGCAGGCATAAGCTATGGACAACGAACACAATTGCATTTTATCGATGGCAATTTGAATGCACAGAGATACCGTGACGAGATCCTGAGGTCCATTGTCGTGCCATTCATCCGCCGCCATCACCTCATGTTTCAGCGTGATAATGCATGGCCCCATGTCGCAAGGATCTGTACACAATTCCTGGAAGCTGAAAATGTCCCAGTTCTTCCATGGCCTGCATACTCACCAGACATGTTTGGGATGCTCTGGATCGACGTGTACGACAGCGTGTTCCAGTTCCCGCCAATCCAGCAACTCCGCACAGCCATTGAAGAGGAGTGAGACAGCATTCCACAGGCCACAATAAACAGCCTGATCAACTCTATGCGAAAGAGATGTGTTGCACTACATGAGGCAAATGGTGGTCACACCAGATACTGACTGGTTTTCTGATCCACGCCCCTACCTTTTTTTTAAAGGTGTCTGTGACCAACAGATGCATATCTGTATTCCCAGTCTTGTGAAATCCATAGATTAGGGCCTAATTAATTTATTTCAATTGAAAGACTTCCTTAAATGAACAGTAACTCAGTAAAATTGTTGAAATTGTTGCATGTTGCGTTTATATTTTGTTCAATGATAATAAAACATATTTTGTTAAGTTACCTTTTCCTCAACTTGTTTCTCTAACTTTATTGCAAGTCGAGCTAGCTTGCGCTGCAGAGCAGCTAGCTAAAAGCTAGGCTAGGTTGAAGATACTGTACCATTGTAGCTAGCAACCCCCACCTAACAATTATCATAAAAAACAAACCATCACAATAAACTTAAACAGGAGGCAACAGTCATATAATATAATTCGCTTAACAGCCAAAGTGTATTATTTAACATTACTATTTAACATTACTATTAGTTTCCCACGGGGGACCAGTATGAAAAAAACATGTATGCACTCACTAACTGTAAATCGCTCTGGATAAGAACGTCTGCTAAATGACTAAAATGTAAAAATGTAAGAAACTATTTTATTTTAAATTCACCATATGCTATCTAGGAGGCAGATAGCTTCTGCAGTACTTTTGTGAGTAGGCTAAGCATTGCAGCTCATATAGAGCTTAATCTACATTTTTTGTTTGGTGCAGGAGTTTTGACCTCAAACATAAGAGTTATAGATGCAGGTAAGGGAATGGGAGGGCATAAAATCAGAGGTCCACATTTTGAATCAAAATCACGTTTTTAGTAATTGTTATTTTACTTACAAACACTTGAAAAGAAAATACAATTAGTTGTCAGTAACATGTATTACAAAATACATGCAAGCATACTGAATGATCTAGTTTGTGAATGAGCATTCCAATATCTGATCCTTACAGAAGCTGACACAGATTATAAGGCAATTAATGGTGGGTTACACATTGTTGAAAAACTACTTGTCATCTGATGACTTACTGAGATGAAGGTGAATTATTACAGAATAAGATCTCTAGCTGTCTGACAGAACTAGTGCTCTCGTGGAGACTGTAGGTAGTTCACCCTCTCTCACTGCTCCTCAGGCGCACTCCCAGGCGGTAGGGCTTTTGAGACTGTGTCCCACCAAAGATGAGGCTGAAATCTGGGACACCTCCATCCTCAGGCCAGACGAATCGGAAACGCCGAAGCAATGTCACTAGAACCAGGAAGAGCTCCATTCGCGCTAACCCCTCCCCCAGACACACACGAGGTCCTGGGGAACACACACACGGTTATCAATGAGAACAACATTTCACTCATACCTTCATGTGCATGCAGCCAGGTATTTTATGTCAACATATTCTCCTGTCGCTGTACAACATAGTATCATTGATAAGCCTCAGATATTGATGCTTTTGCAAAAAGGCACCTGCTGAGAATGGCAGAAAGGCTTCTGGTTTCACAAACTCTCCGACCTCGTTGAGGAAGTTCTCAGGGTTGAACTCGTGAGGGAATTTCCACTGGCCCTCTTCATGCAGCACCGAAGACAGGTTAGGAATCACCATCGTGCCCTGGAACAGACGAGGGAGAGAGGGATTAAGGGTGAGAAGGAGAGGTGGAGAGGTACACTAAAGACTGAGACAGCACCCATAATGACCACTCTAGCCCAGGAGATCTTTATAGTTCAAAGGTCACCAACAGGCAGCATATCAGTCGTCATGGTAATGCTCACCTGGGGAAGCTGGTAGCTATGTAGTTGCGTGTCGCTGCAGGTAGTATGGAACACGCTAAGAGGAATGGTGTCACTCATGCGCTGTGCCTCGTGGATCGTGGCTTGAACATACGGCATGGCATGTCTGTCCTCAAACGAAGCGTCTGCACGTCCCTCAAGAACATCGGTGATCTCTCGGTGACAGTGATCTGGGACAAACATACACTCTTTGGCTGGGATTCAATCCAATAAAGGTTTGTAGATCGTTTGATATTCAAAGCAAATGTCCTATTGAGCCGACATATGCAGTGTTTACCGTGAATGCGGACACATTGTCTACAAGCGCCATCAAATTGAATTAAATGTATGCCAGTGTGTGTATATTTCCTCACCCTGTACATGTTGGTTGGTCATCAGGTGTAGCATGGCAGAGCGGAGGGTGTTGGAAGTCGTGTCTGTCCCAGCAAGGAACAGATCAAGTAGTAGAGACACCATCTGAGTGTCATTAAATGTGGAGTCTCCATCAGCTGTCTGAAACAGACACATGCACGCAGACACACACACACACACACACATTGACGCAAACACACACACACACATGCACGCAGACACACACACACACACACCAAAGGCCTCTGAATTAAATTCTGCATTCCACCCTGCGCCATCCTGTAAAGTACTTCCTCCTCTTCCACCAGCCCAATGAAAATATTTGCCCTGTTTACGGAAGTCATACCAAAGACTCTAAAAATGGGATCCGATGCCTCTCTGATTGGCAGATGGATTCAGGGTAAAGCCCTGCAACAGACTAGTGTCCTATCCAGGGGTGTACTTGTACATCAAGCTGCTTAATGCTACAGAAACAGGAGATAGGCTCATGACCTTCTCCTACCTTGTCAATCTGGTCCAGGTAGCAGTCAAGGAGGTCTCTGGGCTCTCCTGCGACCCTTGAACTTTTGTGCTTGGTCACAACCTTCTTGATATGTTCTTTCATTTGATTAAATTTGTGGAAAACGTTCCTGAAGGGCAAAGGGAGGGGCCTCAAGACCGGTATGATTTCATAGAGCTACAAAAGATAGATTGGAGGAAATGGATGTAAAACAGAGGGGAATGTGGATCAGTGTGTCATGTCTAGCACAGAGAGGTCAGTGAGGATCATGTACACTCTTATAAAAAAAGGTTCCATCTGGTACCTAAAAGGATTCTTTGGCTGTCCCCATGGGAGAACACTTTGAAGAACACTTTTGAAGAACACTTTTGGGTTCAGTGTAGAACCCTTTCCCCAGAGGGTTCTACCTAGAACCCAAAAGGGTTCTACCTGGGGACAGCCAAAGAACCCTTTTGGAACCCTTTTTTAGTAAGCATGGAGTGGCACAGGGCTTAGACTGTACCATGGCCCAAAGTCCGAGAGCTTCCTTGGTCAACTCCCCTAACCTCTGGATGAGGGTGAGGATGACCGGGTCGTCGTATTCAAACCTCTCTCCGAAAATCAGGGAGCAGATGATGTTAGACGCAGCCAGATGGAACAGGTGCTGAGGGTCCATCGAACCACCTACCAATCACAGCACAAGGCAATACACACAGACAAGGTAAGAACGACGATCACAGAGCTACTGAATTGAACAAACTGACAGGATAGATAAAGTAACAACCCCCACAGTCTTTATACCTAATATTAAAACAGTATAGTAAATATTGTCATACTGGGAGTATTACTGAGAGTATCTTATTTCTGACAAGTATGTGTGGTTTTGGAAGTTTATTACAACTAATAGTTAATAGTGTAATTATTTGATACAGTATTGGAGGATCTTTGGGGTGAATACTAAGTGCCGATAATGACATGAATATGTACGTTGATGACTATGATTACTAGGACGTTGTGTGTGTGGGACTGTACCAGCACTGCTCTCCAGCTCAGTGCAAATGTGGGACACCTCCTCTAGGATGCGCTCTTCCATGGAGTGTTTGCCAAGGCCAAAGTTCCTCAGCGTGGTCAGAGCAAAGCGCCGGTGGTCCCTCCAGCTGGAGCCATAATTGGCCATGACGATCCCTGATCGGCACACACACATACAAACACACACGGAGCGGACATGGGTTGGGCTCACGGTCTCATGCCTGCTATTGTGTCACCCTCAGCCCAAGGGGGGATTTCCTATTGGGCTAATTCTTAAGATGTTGGTTTCTCCCGTGGGAGACCAGGGCTCAGATACCGCCGACTGGCACACACACAGTACCCATTATTATACCACATATTATAAAAGGGGTCAAGAACCTACTACCTTTGCCTTCGAAGAGGTGGCTGATCAGAAGATGGGTTGGTCGTCCAGCATATTCCGCTGCGTGTGTCACCAGTGCCTCATGAACCACCTCTAGGCCATTCAGAACCACTGCAGGCCGTGAGCCGATGTATATACTGAACACATTACCATAGCGCCTCTTCAGCTGAAGCACAGAAGGAGAGAGACAGTAAATATTTATTGTGAGAATATAATGTGGGACTTTTATTTTGAAATGTTATTCAGGCACTTGGGAGAAAACGCAAGGGTTGATGGATAAGCTTTCAGTCTTGAGTTTTAGAGTGGTTACAGGAGTAACTCTTGGCTGACTACTATTATTTTGTCCCTTTACAAGTTGCATAGCACTCTGATATTAAACATTGAGTCTCAGTGTCCCTGGTTTCCATTCTTATGTGTAATAACAAAAAAGCTCAACCGTATTCACAACATATCTACACAGTGTTGTTAGTGTGTAATTACACCATTTCTACCCAGGATAATAAAGTGTTTCCCTTTTTTTTTATTAAATATTTTTTCCTTGTTTATAAATCCCATAAAACATTTCGGTTTAGAAATAATGGAAAGCGTGGTTCTTATCCACAATTTTCACTCATTCTTTCAAAACTTTACACTAAATTATATCATTATTTCTGTTTATTGTCAAATTAATAAAACATTGTGTTTTGTTGAAATTGTGTTATGACATTACAACCTTTTTGAGAATTTTCTAGTCCAATTGTAGCATGATTCCACTCTTTGTATCCGTTTGCATCAGTTTCAATGCGAGACCTTTATTTTGAAGGCGAACCACTGATTCCACTATTGCTGCTCATTGTCCTAGAACTTTAGCCTACATCACACTTAATACCCATACAGTCAGCCTGGTCTCATAGACTAGACGTAACATAGTAAATGTAGATCCGAGACACTCAAATTAGTATGATATGTTACCTTTGGTATGGTTACATGAGACAGATGGTTACTTAAGGCAGTGGTTCCCCAATTATTTTTTAAAAGAACTCTCCGGCTTTAAACTTACTCTTGAAGGTTGTAATAGTAGTGCAATTTCGAAATTGGGTAGTGCATCATCAGTTCCTCTTGTCATGTTAGTCATTGCATACCTTAGAGAGCTATTTATAACTTGTCAGAAATCAGATCAACTAGCCCATGTCAGCTACCATTTTTTATTTAGGTTTTTAACCCATAGATGTTGTTGTCATTTTTTTGTCACTCAAATATCACATGAATACACATTAGCCATGGCAAAATTTATAGAATTGCAAGAAAAATAGCTTTAAACCTGCAAAATTCTCTCCACCAACAAGAGGGTGTGAACAGTTTGTGTCATGACCAGTGCTTGTGCCCATAGAAATAGACGTGGTGTGTGCGCGCAGGGAGGGCGTGGCAAATTCAATACATATTGTACATTTTGCAAATTCGTGACATATAATACAAATTGTAATTCGTAACATATCATAAGAAATGGGTGATGGACATCCATAATACATACCATACGAAACGTAACATATCATACATACTAAATGGAGTGTCTCGGATTTACTATACAGAATAATAGGAATCCGTTGACTTATATTACGGGTTGCTTGTAGAAAGCTTTATCCAAAATATTAGCGTCACCAAAAAAAGGTGGTTTCCAGCAGGGTTATCGTAGCAGGTCTCGAGAGTAGGTCGAGCGAGAGTAGGTCTTGCATGCTGTCTAGACCAGGGCGCAGGTGCGTCTGCGTGCGCATGTTGATTTTGTCTACCTACACCAGGTCGAAAAGCGTAAACACATTAAAGTTGGTTGCCAACCGCCATATAAAATCCAAAGAAGAGGAAGAAGCCTGAAGGAGGAGAGATTACTAGAAACAAACTCTGTTTACCCTTTATCAGTGGCTTTATTGTCAGAGTAGAGGACCATGTGCATTTCAGGTAAAATAACAACCCAATGTTTATATCCCAGGACAAATTAGCTATCAACAGCAAGCTAGCTAGCTAAATTGCCATAAATGTTTAATACTTTTCAACCTGTCCCCAAATTAATATAGTTGGTTCAGAGTTGGTTTTGATATTTCAACCTGTGTGTCCTGATCGTGTCTGGTGTGGGTGTACAAAATCAACATGCGTGCGACGGCGCCCGGTCTAGTCAGTATGTAACCCTAGCCTACAACGTATAGCCCACTTTACCCTTTCCAGGTCTTTGAGGGGGTTGACAGGATCCAGCTGTAGCAGATTGCCGAGGATGGGCAGGGGACGGGGTCCTGGTGGGAAGTTTTTAGGTCGGCGGACCCTGAAGAAGAAGAATAGAAGGAGGATAAAGAGCCACAACAACACCACCGACCCTAGCATGGCGACTGGGCTTCAGGAAATGTGTATGCTGTATGCTAGGCTACTTCACGATTTAAAGCTGGCTGATTTAAAGATGCCGGTTGTCACCCACACAAATTGTGGACTTTGTTTTGAACACTAGGCAGCAGAGGTTTATCAGAGGGATATTTGCTGACTCTAAGTTTACAGTAAGCCTAGTTTCGGAAATCCCAGATCTAGGGCAACAGTTAATGTGGGAGGTAACCTGTCTGCCTATGGGAGACTAGTAGGTTTACAGCCCTGATTCAGGACTTAATACTATTTTTTTGACATATAAGATGGAAGGGAGTTCCATGCACTCATGGTTCTGTATAAAACTGTACATTTCCTTGAATTTGTTCTGGACCTGGGGACTGTGAAAAGACATGACATGGCATGTCTGGTGGGTTAAGTGTGTGTGTCAGTGCTGTGTGTAAGTTGACTATGCAAACAATTAGGAATTTCCAACACATTAATGTTTTTTATAAAAACAAGATGTGACGCAGTCAGTCTTTCCTCAACTTAATATTAGCCCTCTGATTACAATGAAGAGCAAGACGTGCCACTCTTTCTTTGCAGCACTTGACCATATGACTGGACAATAATTAAGATAAGATAAAAGTAGAGCCTGCAGGACTTGCTTTGTGGAGTGTGGTGTCAAAAAAGCAGAGCATCTCTTTATTACGGACAGACCTCTCTCCATTTTTACAACCATTGAATCTATATGTTTTGTTTTAACCATGACTGTTTACAATATAAGGTAACACCAATTAATTTAATCTCCTCAACTTGTTCAACAGCCACACAATTCATTACCAGATTCAGCTGAGGTCTTGAACTTAAGGAATAATTTGTACCAAATACAATGCTGTTAGTTTTAGAGATGTTCAGGATCAGTTTACTACTGGCCACCCATTCCAAAACAGACTGCAACTCGTTAAGGGTTCAGTGACTTCATTAGCTGTGGTTGCTGATACGTACAGTACCAGTCAAAAGTTTGGACACACCTACACATTCAAGGGCTTTTCTTTATTTTTACTATTTTCTACATTGTAGAATAATAGTGAAGACATCAAAACTATGAAATAACACATATGGAATCATGTGGTAACCAGAAAATTGTTAAACTAATCAAAATATATTTTATATTTGAGATTCTTCATATAGCCACCCTTTGCCTTGATGACAGCTTTGCACACTCTTGGCATTCTCTCAACCAGCTTCACCTGGAATGCTTTTCCAACATTCTTGAAGGAGTTCCCACATATGCTTAGCACTTGTTGGCTGCTTTTCCTTCACTTTGCCGTCCGACTCATCCCAAACCATCTCAATTGGGTTGAGGTCGGGGGATTGTGGAGGTCAGGTCTCCTTCTTTGTAAAATAGCCCTTACACAGCCTGGAGGAGTGTTGGGTCATTGTCCTGTTGAAAAACAAACGATAGTCCCACTAAGCCCAAACCAGATGGGATGGCATAACGCTGCAGAATGTTGTGTTATCCATACTGGTTAAGTGTGCCTTGAATTCTAAATAAATCAGAGACAGTGTCACCAGCAAAGCACCCCCACACCATAACACCTCCTCCTCCATGCTTTACGGTGGGAACTACACATTTTTACATTTTACATTTTAGTCATTTAGCAGATGCTCTTATCCAGAGCGACTTACAGTTAGTGAGTGCATACATAAATATTTTATTACATATTTTAATTAGCAAACAATCAGTCAGTGAATTGTTTTTATTCACCATTTACATTTGAGTTAAAGTTAACGTCAGTCAGTAAAGACTAGGAGCACTGTACATCAAACTGACCAGGCCCTGATAGCAATAGGGTTGTACAATACTACCTCTGAATGTAGTGACTACATTTGTAAAACAGGTAAATGTAGCTTTCATTTAAATCAAAAAGCAAATATATCACACAAAAAAAGAGATTATGAAATCCTCCTCATCCATTAAAAATGGATTGTTAAATTCTCTTTGACATCACATTTCAGACACAAGTCAGCAGGTGGCAGTGTCTTCAAATGAAAAATAAAGTTAAAAAATAAGGCAACTACAAGCAATAGGCTATATGTTTCAAGTAGTTTATATTTTTATTCTCTCCCTTGTTATTAATTTGCTAAACTAGTTAATCTGGTTTGGAAAAAGAAAATGGCGACCTACCATTGCAACACTACTCTATGTTGCACACATATTATATAGTTATTTTGCAATCGTTTGCAATTGTTTACAATCTGTTACTTAACTTGGAACAAAATGTGGGTTGAAGTTGAACAAAGGCAACACTTTTCAGCAGCTAAATATATTTGCATGAAGCTCTACTCAACAGCGTTGTTGTTTACATTTTAACATTCAGCAGAATCTCTTATCCAGAGCGACTTACAGGAGCAATTAGGGTTAAGTGCCTTGCTCAAGGGCTCATCGACAGCAATATTTCGGCCCAACGCTCTTAACCTCTACGCTACCTGCCGCTGTAACGTTAGTTGCTGTAGCTTGGTTAATTATACATTTACAAACGTTTTAACCACCAGTATGTTGTTGGACAAACATTACAGAATGATTTCTTATATAGAATGATCTGCAATTCTGCACCCAAAATCATCACTCATAAATTGCTTAAATATGTGCTTATCAATTCATGAAAGAACAAGGTTCAGTTTGTTTGGTGAAAGACTGCGAGTAAAGGCAAAGGCACTTAAATAAAATGTTTCATGTTTAATTTATCTAGCATATCTAGAAGCGAGAAGGTTAAACCGTCGGGACAGATGCATGATTGTAAAGACTGGAAAGCGGCATTTGAGGCAGGCAACCCCGCGTAAGTGTTTCATGCATATTTCTCCGCCTCCAACTCCACCCACCCTTTATATGGGCTTTTGCTACCGCCGATTCATTCCGCTATTGTGCGACCTGAGGTGTGCACCGCATCGGAACCGCTTTGGCAAACTGGGTAGCCAAGCCTATAGGTCAAAACTAATAACAGTTCTGGGCATAGACGTATTTAAACATGGATCTTCATCAACGACTTTGGTTAGAATGGGCAACTCTTTTTGCCATTGCGTTATCAGTGAACAGTTTGAGCAAACGCGACATGTTTGATTACGGAGAGCAAGCTGGAGACCAACTGTTGGAGCAGGGTACCGACCAAACTCAAGCACTTATTTTGGACCAGTCAATGTTCTTCTTCGATGGCGCATATGACACTGTTTATGTGAGTAATTATGTTTTATGCACATGCGCAAATAGTATCTTAATTATGCACGAGAATAGCTGCCAAATATATCAATGCCAAACATGCACATCCATCAATTATGATATTCACATGCATGTTGACTGTTGAGAACCCCTTCCTATGCATGCATTGTGATAGGCTATTTTATCCATGAAAGGTAGCTAACAAAACAATTACATCCTATGTTCTCAATTAGTTTACCACCTCATGCATATGCCACATATCACATAATTCAAAATCTGTTCACAAATGAAAGTACTGTTTGATGATAATCAAATTAGCATAAATTGCTCAAATCCCATGATTTGGGGTGATGAAAGGCTATGTGGAATGTTGCTAGGAGGGTTTGGAATGTCAATAAATTCATTATGTGACTGATAAGGCTATCAACGCCCACCTTCATAAACACTGGCTTGGCTCTGTGCCTCCTTATACTGTAGAATATCACATACCAACAAATCATGTGATGATGGTTGATAGAGAATGATACATTCATTGATCCACATATGTATTTAGTTTAGAATGTTTCAGATCATCCCAAGCACCTGAAAGTTGCCCAAGATGTCACATTGACAATTGTCTCCCCTGTTGTCTCTCTCTCTCTCTCTCTCTCTCTCTCTCTCTCTCTCTCTCTCTCTCTCTCTCTCGCTCTCTCTCTCGCTCTCTCTCTCACCTACATCTGTGTATGATGTATCTACTGCATTATAAATTAATTCCCCCTTTAGCTATGGACCCCAGACGGTGCAGTATAAGGGTTAATTAACCCTAACAATAACTTGTCTGTTCATTAAAAAGCACTTATCCCCATTGTTGTAGATTGACAAAACATTAACCCCAGAAGGCCCAGGCAAGCTCATCCCCGTGCCCCATTAGAAAGCAGCTTTGTCTGTGACGTGACCCACCTTTTGTCGGATCAAAAGACAGAGACGGCACAGAGAAATGATGAGGTCGCCACACAGCAGGCCTATTGTGTGACTTATCTCCAAAGAGGCTCCAGAGTGACCTTAAAGCTCAGACACACCGGTATGATTGTCAAACGTTTGCCTGCCGACAGTACTTAGCACCTCTGAACAGAGTGTCGGCAGTCAATCTCTTTCGTGTTCACACAGCAAAGACCTTGGAAGTCGTCAGCCACTCAGCCTTGTTAAAATACTCCAAACCAGACGGTGGCAGTAGCATTGTTTGGCAATGCATATCCGTGTGTATTGCTTATGGCCTAGATTCGAAGCTATCTGCGCTAATGTTGCTATTTTGTAGAAAGCCCTTGTTGATACTACTGTATGTTGTTCTTGTTTATTACTGTTCTGTACTTTGTCATGCATTTGTACATTTTATGTGGACCCCAGGAAGAGTAGCTGCTGAGTGTGCAGTAGCTAATGGGGATCCTAATAAACTAAACTAAATACTAGCCAGATGGCCACAGCTAGATAACTACAGTACCTAGCAAGATGATGAAGAAACTATTTAATTTACTCTCCATAATCCCATACTGCCAGTAACAGCCCATGGCAAAATATTCAGCTACCTAGCTAACGTTAGCATATTTGCTAGCTAGCACAACATAGCTAGCTAGCTAAGGACACTGCACTAACTCGACGGCTAACACAGGCAGCTGTTTCATGGAAACTAGCTAATCCATTGTGATTTTATTATAATGTCAATACTAGCTACAGTGGTTAGCTAGCTTGGAGGAAGTATTTAGTGTTGTGTGCATTGTGTCTATGCACTTAGCTAGCTACCATCCCATAGCCTACATTGCATATGAAGTGTGACTGTCTCATTCGTGGATGTAAGGAGAAAATATTTATTCAATTTTTTTTGTTGGCTACCCACGTGGGGGTTTGTGCGCTCTGATTGGCTTGAAGTCAAGTTGTTGGCCACTGACAAGCATTGCTTCGTCGCTACCGGGTTAGCACGCAGCAGGTACCGCTTTTGTTCAAGCAAGAGAAGGAATGTCCTCCCACTTTGATA